AGTGCAGTAATTATGACTAAATGGAAAAAGTCCTTAAATATCAGATATAATCGTGATTATACAAGTTGAGCAAAACAGCAATTCATGCAGCGATTCTCAGCTTTCAGACGCAGTTGTACACACACCTGTCTGTCTCTTTGTCTGTCTCTCAGGTGCGTGAGACTGATCCTGATGATCCTAATAAGGACATGGTTGTTCAACTCATGGACGACTTCAATCTGGTTCTCAGACGTGTGTATGGTGTTTGAAGTTCTTGGTCATCATTTGCTCAAGTGGATCATCAAGTCTAATTATCAGGGTTTGCCGTTACCCTGCGTCAAGAGCATCATTACACAGGTAATTACGCACATCACGCACACTTCCCGAATCCGTAAACACAGGTGTCTAGCATCCAGACAGCATCAGCACGTATTCAATGTTTCATAATCAGCTGCCTGGAGATGCTTTGAGCCAATGAGATTTCACTGTGGGTGGAGCTACAAGAAACAGAACAGAAGTGACTGACAGAATGTCCTGTTAGCCGCGTCCCGCTTCAGAGACTGCGTCCTGCGAAGGTCACAGAGGTCGATCTGCGCGTCCTTAAATGAGACGGTCTTGTCTACGGAGGATTGCTCTTGTCGCCTAGCAACTGTGAGAGCTGCGGTTAACAAGCAGCAGGAACGTTTGTACTGGACTGTTTTAAAAAAAAGAAGGAAGCATTACAAGGCCATATTTGAAGCGGCTGTGAGCCTCTGAATTGGGACGCAGTGACAGTCAGACAGTAACTACGCAAAATCCTGGTGACGCCTCTGTCCACGCGCAGTACTCCAGCAACAGCAAAAGATGAAGAGTTCAACCAATCAGAGCGTTCTTGTTTTTCTGTTTTGCATTTAAGTAATTTCCGTGTGTTTTATTTCTCTCCAAACCGGCTCTGTTTGTGTGTATCTGTGGGTCTGTGCGCTGAGATGAGGAAATGCCTCCCCGCTTAAAATGCAACACACGCCGAACATCTTCACTTGTGAATGAGAAGTGTTTCTAAACCTGTTTTCCAGCAAAAGAGAATTATAACATACTAAACAACATCAGTTGGATGTGACCCCGAGGTGGTTTTAAGAACACAGATAAACTATACATTGTCGCAGTCGAGTGTCTATTGTCTTAATGTTTCATAATTCAAAGTGTTGTGTCTTCTTTTATTCAGTTACAAGGATAGCTGGATGCCTTTGGGTTCTATTACTTTTGCAATGCAAATGTGGATATTCTGTGCGAGTGCGCCCTCTGGTGTCCAGTGTGAATGAAACAGACAGTGCATGTGTTTATAGCACTAAATAATGGCCAATCTGTAAAAATAATACTTCTCTCAAAAGAAATTTGAAGTAGACATATGATAATCCATGTTTTTCTACAGTGTACAGAAGTTTTTGGAGAATTAATTTACAGTGTACTGATGTACTGGAGTTTTTTTTTTTTAAATAGCATTTTAAATACGGTTCTCCTAACCACAGAATACAACGTTTGGCATTTTCAGTGTGAAATCATCGTATTATTTCTGTGATGAAGCAATGGTCCAGTGTGTTCTAGACTCAGCTGAGGAACGCATGTGTTTGTGGTTTGGCTGCAGGTTCTGCAGGGCCTCGATTACCTTCACAGTAAGTGTAAGATCATCCACACGGACATCAAACCGGAGAACATCCTCATGTGTGTGGACGAGGCTTTCGTGCGCAGGATGGCGGTGGAGGCCACCGAGTGGCAGAAAGCCGGAGCGCCGCCGCCGTCTGGATCCGCTGGTATTCAGTTGTTCTGAATCGTGAATGATGATGAATGTGCTTGGTGACATTCTGACCGTGTTTCTCTGTGTTTGTTCGCAGTCAGCACGGCTCCTCAACTCCAGCAGGTCAGTGAAGCCGTCATTCTCACACACACATGCAGCTGTTTTACTGAAGAAAGCGGACAAATGTCCACCGTCTTCAACACATCAAAAACTCTAGTTTGCTGTATAGTTGTACATTACATACAAGCAGGGGCGTCTGACGGGGTAATAGTGGAACTGAGTAACGGGCCCTTGGCGAGGGAGGGCCATAATGATAGACTGATTATTATTATTAATATGATTGATGAGGTGTTGTGTTGTGAGGGGCCCACCCCCTTGGTTGTGTGACTGGGGCCCAACATTTGGTGCTATGCCCCTGCATACAAGAACATACAACTCTGATCTGTAGATATTTGTGATGCACATCGGTTTTTACAAAACTGAACCAAGCCGCCTTAGAAAGTGAGTTTTGATGATTAAGAGAACATGTCGCTGGATAGTGACTCCGCCGCCGAGCAAACGATCAGAATTCATCTGCTGAAGTACGAGAGAACGAGTGCATGAAGCGTGTTTGTCTGAGTTGTCTCCTGTGGTTTGGCGCCTCCTGCAGGTGGGGAAGATCTCCAAAAATAAAAAGAAGAAGCTGAAGAAGAAGCAGAAGCGGCAGGCGGAGCTGCTGGAGAGACGCATGCTGGAGATCGAAGCTCTGGAGCGAGAGGCGGAGAAGCAGAGAGCCGGAGGAGCGCCGGACGCTGCACACGGTCCCAGCCTGGCTCTGGCCGACAGCGAGGAAGATGAAGAGGATGATGAGGATGCAGATGAGGACGAGGAGGCCGAGGGAGAGAAGGAGCGGCCCGTCAGACTCACCAACCACACATGTGAGTTCAGTCCAGACGTCATCTTTTAAAAAAATAGGTGTTGATGAAAGTGATCCCTTGGTTTTAGGAATGTAAACAAATCCTGCTTCCCTAGACCAAATGTCTTCTTTTTAATCTTTGAAACATCTCATTTTCCCCGTGTGATCATGTATGTCACTGTTGCTCCCTTTTCAGTCGCCTTTAATTGGTAGATCATTTGTTCCTTAAGCAGGAACATTTCACATAACACTACTCTGTCTCCAGTGTTCAGCGTATGAAGTAACGCTTTCTGTTCACATTTTTGGCCAAAGATTTCTCCTAACATGCAGATGAAGATAGCTCCGTTACTGTCAGTGTGTAGCACTAGTTTATAATGGATAAACTGCTAGTGATGATCAGATGATCGGATTCTCTGGTCAGGACTTAATTAGTCGCTTAGTCGCAGAAAAAAATTCCACAGGAAGTGGTGAAGTCATGCAGTCCGTGACGGACAGATCGTTAACGGCTGTCGATGTTGTAATACAGTCGGACAGGACATCCAAACGCTCGCCTATCATTCATTGAATTCAAATATGGCTTTATCTGAAAGATGTATGTAGTAGTAGCAACTTTACATGGCTGCTCAATCTAATATAAAGCTAGTGCTCTAGTCCAGTGATTGTGTGAGAGTGTGGAAGCTGAACAGTAGCATGACAGATGGAGGCGCCGGTGCACTCACCTGCTCTTAAAATACTCTCTCATTTCTGGTCATACAGATAAGAGTAATAATGCTTCAAATGAACAACTACTAGTCGACCAGAAAAATCTTTAGTCGAGGGCAGCCCTAATATTTTATATATAAATCTAACATATTTTTCCTTAATATATACTGTGTGTGTGTGTTTTTATATATACATAATAAATATACACCGTACACACACATATAGTATGTAAACAAACTTTTATTTTGAATGTGATTTCGCAGCCCTAGTCACAATCACTGACACGGTTAAGCCACAGAAAGACGACTGATATCATCCAGTCACCATTCTCTGTGATTCATTCTCCCTCTTTAGCTGGTTCTTTAGGTCAGTAACATGAACAACTAATGAGCATCTGTGAGAATCTCCCACCATTATTGGAGAGTAAACTGTAATCGCTGCTAGTGATGAGCTAACAGCACTGAGAGTGACTACAGCGGCGCTTAACTAACTGGTTCTATTTTGAGGCACTGGGCCTCCCTCTGACACAACGTTCATGATGGAGTCATTTCCAATGCTCAGTCTGACCTGATACAAGTGATCACAATTCCCAGCAGTTTTTGATTGAGTTACTGATTGTTTACTTGTGTTTTACAAGCAGTAATAGTGTGGGCGGGTCTTGCATTAAACGGTAACAGTGTGTCTTGCATTAATAATATGGGCAGATCTTACAGTAATGGTGTGGGCAGGTCTTACAGTAATAAGTCTTACAGTAATAATGTGGGCATGTCTTGCATTAATAATGTGGGCGGGTCTTACAGTAATGTGTGGGCAGGTCTTACAGTTATAGTGTGTCTTGCATTAATGTGTTTTTTGATTTACACAAGTAAACAATCAGTAACTCAAAGTAAATTACAAGCAGTAATAATGTGGGTGGGTCTTGCATTAAACAGTAATAGTGTGGGCAGGTCTTGCATTAATAATGTAGGCGTCTCTTACAGTAATGATGTAGGCGTGTCTTACAGTGATCGTGTGTCTTGCATTAATAATGTGGGTGAGTAATACAGTAATAGTGTGGGCGGGTCTTGCAGTGATAATGTGGCGGGTCTTGCAGTAATAGTGTGGGCGGGTCTTGCAGTAATCGTGTGGGTGAGTAATACAGTAATGATGTAGGCGTGTCTTACAGTAATGGTACAGTAATAGTGTGGGTAGGTATTGCATTAATAATATGGGCGGGTCTTTCAGTAATAGTGTGTCTTGCATTAATAATGTGGGTGAGTCATACAGTAATAATGTGGGTGAGTCATACAGTAATAGTGTGGGCGGGTCTTACAGTGTTAGTGTGGGCGGGTCTTGCAGTAATCGTGTGGGTGAGTCATACAGTAATAGTGTGTCTTGGATTAATAATGTGGGTGAGTCATACAGTAATAGTGTGGGCGGGTCTTACAGTGATGGTGGGGGTGGGTCTTGCAGTAATGATGTGGGCGGGTCTTACAGTGATGGTGTGGGTGGGTCTTGCAGTAATGATGTGGGCGGGTCTTACAGTAATAGTGTGGGCGGCTCCTACAGTAATAATGTGAGCATGTCTTACAGTAATGGTACAGTAATAGTGTGGGTAGGTATTGCAT